CTGGAGTCCCCTGCTGCAGTGGGTTGCCATGGGCTACCGTATGTAGCCAGCAGCCAGCGTGAGTGGCCAGCAGCCGCAGTGAGCGGCCGTCCAGAAGGCGGCGACTGATCTGCCTCGCCCACAAAGAGTGCAATGATGGTGCCAACTTGGGCCAGTGAAGCAATGTCCTCCACAACGAGACTGAAGACCAAAACGACAGCAACTTGTCTGTTTCCCTTCCCCCAATTCCCCAGTGCTGCTCCCATCCCCTTAATTCCCCAATAAAAACCTTTAAAAAAAAAAGGGTTCAGGAAATTTTATAATGTTCCAAAAAAACCGCCGTCACTTCTGTCAACCTTGCCGAGTGGAAATGTATGACTAGGTAAGCAGATAACAAGGCTTTGTTATCTGTAAAGCATTTTCTCTATTCTCACAGCTAGCAACAGACTGAGGGTTCTTTCTAGACTTCTGGGATGAATTCCAGGTTCCAAGCCAGTGAAGTGGAGCCCTGGGCGGTCTTTCCCTCACACCATACCAACTTATCCAGAAGAAGAAGTGTGATACGAAAATACTGTCATTAGTAGTAACGAAAATATCTTATAGTACCTTACAGAGCTGACCTGAAAAAAGCTCGTCAGCTCTTGCTAGGTTTAAGCTTGAAAGATGACGAGCATGTTTTCTTTTTTCCATTTCAGACAAAATATCCTCTTATTTCTAATAAGAAAAAGTTCGTCTATACATTTGCCAACCAGACAGAACAAAGCCACAATTCTAAGTTCTCAGGAGAGTTCATACCAACGCGTTGTCTGCTTTTCCACCTTCTAGGGTCACTTCCAAGTTAGAAAGTGCTGCTTCTACTTCATCGACCTCAGACTCATTTGTAAAATCCTGTATTTCAGCAGACGATGACAGTTTGCTAATGTGATACTAGAAAGAAACAGAGGTTTTAGAAATGTTATAAGCACAAATAAATCCATTAGCTAGTTCTTCTGTTTTTGGAGGCAACTCCCCTGTAATACCAAACATCACCTGGAAGGAGATCTGCCTCTTATGTAGGGAAATGACATTTTAATCTGAATCATTCTGAGATTTACGGTTAGTTGTGCTTGAACTCAGTCCTTCTCCATTAGTGGTTGAGCTTGTAGTAGGGAAGAGATAAGAGTTGCAAGGCGAATGCTTTACATAAGATGTACATGTGGGGGAGTCATGAGAAGCATTTAAAATTGGAATTTACTCTCCTCATTTCCAGTGCTTTTGTCAAAGAAAAAAACAGTAGGAAGAAAATGAAACTTGAAGCAGAACAAACTTGCTTTGTCTCCTTCCAGAGAACAGGTACTGGAGTTCTCATACCTGCAGGGCTGCGAAGATCAACATTTCTTCCTCTGTGCAGTCAATTTCTTCTAAGACAATGGCCCACCTGGCTTGTTCATAGAGCTGGTTTATTCGAACAGCATCGTACTAGAGAAAAAAACAGGTGTGTGTGTGTGTGTGTGTGTGTGTGTGTGTGTGTGTGTGTGTACTTGGGGGTATATTTATATTCTGAATACAAAAATTAAAGAATGACTGAGGCCCCCCTTCCTTGTTAATCAGACACAATAAACTTCAGTTAAGGTAACTGAAGGAAACACCCCTCTACTTTTTACCGCCTCAGCTCTTTTTACTTCTAAATTTAGAACTTTCTCGAAATATTTTCCAGAGTTTTTCCAAGGGGCCAAACTGACCCATCTCAGATTGCACTATTTTGCCTCTCTTTTATCACACTTGTAATGGTAGGAAAAAAAGGTAGTAAAAATGGTTTATGTGCTAAAGTGGTATAAAGGAGAAGGGATTCCCAGGCTGCTCTGCAAACTCAGGGCAATCCTAGTCAGCATCTGATAGGGATTATCAAGTGCAACTTTATATAAACTGATTTTCAAGTTAAGCTGGAAGAGACAATATTCAAATATTTGAAACAGAACAATGTTGGGGAGACACTTGTCCTCCCAGACATTGAAACATATTATAAAGCTGCAGTTACTAACATGGTGTGGTATTGATATACTGATAGACAAAATGTCAATAACACAGTATCTAGAAATCGACTTACATATGTATATAAATGTAATATAAAATAAAAATGGCATTTTATATCAGCAGGGGAACAAAGAATTCAATACTATAAATAGTGTTAAAAATGCCTAGCTATTTGGAAAACAAAAATCCAAAATCAAAAGACAATCTTACATCACCCCCAAACTATAAATTATAGATAAACAGATCTGAATATACAAAAACACAATTAGACCCCACTTCACACTTACTACCATGGCTCTAATGTAAATGACAGATAATAACAAATGTTGGTTGAGGATGTGGAGAAATATAAAATGATGCAGCCTCTGTAGGAAACAATTTGGCAGTTCCTCAAAAAGTTAAACAAAAGACTATGATCCAGCAATTCTACTTGTAAGTATATACTAAAAAAAATGGAAGAGAGGGACTCAAACAGATACTTTACCCCAGTGTTCATAGCAGTATTATTCACAATAGCCAAAAGATAGAAACAATGCAAATGACCACCAACAGACAAATGAACAAACAAAATATAGTGTTCATATACAACAGAATATTATTCAGCCATAAAAAAGAATGAAATTCTGATATGTGCTACAACATAGATGAACCTTGAAGACATTATGCTAAGTGAAATAAGCCAGACACAAAAGGACAAATATTGTATGATTCTATTTACAGGAAGTTCCTAGAATAGGCAAATTCATAGAGACAGGAAGTAGAATAGAGGTTAGCAGTGGCTGGGGGAGGGGTTTATTTAAATGGGGAGCTATCGTTTAATGGGTACAGAGTTTCTGTATAGGATGATGAAAAGTTCTGGAAATGGATAGTGGTGATAGTTGCATACTATTGTAAATGACTAATTGCCATTGAATTGTGAACCTAAGAATAGTTAAAATGGCAGATGTTATGTTGTGCATATTTTACAACAACAACAACAACAACAAAAACAAAGAAAAAAAATCCCCAAATTTGTACCTGAATGTTCACAGCAGCATTATTCATAATAGCTAAAAAGTGGAAACAATCTAAATGTCCATCAACCGATGAATGGATAAATAAAATGTGGTATATACATACAATCAAATATTATCTGGCAAAAAAAAAGAAATGAAATACTAACACATGCTACAATATGGATGGACATTGAAAAGTGAAAGAAACTAGTCACAAAGTACTACATATTGTATAACTCCATTTAGATGAAATGCCCAGGGTAGGCAAATCCATAGAGACAGAAAGTAGATTGATGGTTGCCTTGGGTTGAGGGGGTGGTGTTGGAGGGAAATGGGGAGTGGCTCCTAATGGGTTTCTTATTGGGATGATGAAAATGTTCTGAAATTAGACAGTGGGGATAGTTGCATAAGTCTGTGAATATACTAAAAACCATTCACTTGTACATATTCAATGAGTGAAATGTATGGCACGTGAATTATATCTCAAGGAACTGTTATAGAAAATCTAATCATAACAACCAAAACTACTGGAAGGAAACATGAAAGAAAACTTTTTGTAATCTTTGAATGTGGAAAGCTTTTCTAAGCAAGACAGAAAGCCTAAAAATTATGATGCATCAGACTGACTTGACAACTGAAAGTTAAACATTTTTAATGGTGAAAAATGGCCTAAGGAAGACTTTTATAAGACCAAACACAGGTTGTAAAATATTTGCAATAAATATAGAAGGCAACACCCATTATATACAAAGTGCTCCTAAAAATCAATATGGAAAATACAAATAATTCAATAGAAAATGGGGCAAATATATAAATAGGCAACTTATAGAAGAAACCAAAATGACCATATAAACATTGGAAAAGATGCACAACCTCACTAATAATCAGAGAATTCAAGTTAAAGAAAGAGATGACAGTGTCTATTTTCCTATCAGATTTACCCACATTATAAGGATTGATAATGTCTGGTGTTGGCATGGATGTAATGCAATTGGTACTTTCACATATGAGGTTAGTAGGGAGGCAACTGGGTGGTATCTTTTCATGTCTTTTTGCCTTTTGATTGGCATGTCTATGGTTACTATTCTAAAGAAACGCAAGCACTCCTCAAAGATACTGGTATAAGAATATGCACCACATTTTTTGAAAGAGCAAAAATTGCACGGAACCCAGGGTTCTGATGAACTATGATTTAGCCTTTCCTTTGATTATTTCATAGTGGTTAAAAAAAAGCGAGTCAGACATATGCGTATATTGTGAAGTACAAAGATGCAAGCTACAAGACAAACACATGATCCCATTTATGTAGGGGGAAAAAGATCCTGAAAATCTGTTCACAAATTTTATAACTGTGAAAAAATCTGCAAGTATTGTTATTTATCAAGCTGTTAACTGTGTCTGCCTCTTGGGAGAAAGGTCTTGGTAAAGGACTATTTTCCATTTTTACTCTAAATATTTCCTTTGTATGTTTGATTAAAACAATTTTTTAAAATTGTGATAAAATACATATAAAATTTACCATGTTAACCATTTTTAAGTGTGCAGTTCAGTGGCATTCTACAGAACTCTGTATCTGTTAAACAATAACTCCTATGTTTGCTTTTCTTTTCTTTTTTTGTTTGACACTGGGTATACATTTTACTATATCCTTAAAAAAAATGTTGAAGAAAATATGAAGGAGGAATAGAAAGACAGGATTCCTAAACAGATTTGTCATAGGTTGATTAGCATTAGCTTATTGTTTCCTTTTGCATGAACCTATGCATACTAAGAAAAAAATGTGACAGGGAACGAAAAACCTGAAGTAAGCCCAAACCAGCAAATAGTGTTGCTATCAGATTAAGTGGGCAATAGGACCTGTTGCACAGGCAGCCTCCTTCTGAGCATGTCTACAGCTGCTGGGAGAGAGACACAATGCAAATCCAAGAGTGTGGTGTCCCGGAGGCCAGAAGAATAAGAAACTTAAGAAAGTCTCTCTTTGTTTTGCGAATGTGGCCAGGTGTCGTGGAACACCTCAGGAGTTAGCCCCAGAATCCTCCCCAAACAAACCAAAACACCACACACATGAGAACATTCACAGCAGCACTATTCAAAATAGCCCCAAACCGGAAACAAGCCAATGTCCCTCATTCGGAGACTGGAGAAACAAAATGTGGTCCACCCACAGTGGGACACCACGCAGCAAGTACAAAGGAGTGCACTACTGCTACACGCAACAACACAGATGAACCTCAAAAACATTATGCCGAGTAAAAGAATCTAGACACAAGATTACATACTGTATGATTCCATCTACGTGAAATTTCTAGAAAAGGCCCAACTTGAGACAGAAAGCAGACCAGTGGTGGGGCGGGCTGTGGCAGGGGCAGGGGCAGGGGCAGGGACTGACCATAATGGGTATGAGGAAAATTTTGGGGGTGATGCAAGTGTTTTAAAACTGGATTGTGGTGATGGTTGCACAACTATATAAATGTACTGCAAATCATTACATTGTACAATTACAGTGGGTGAATTTATCATGTAAATTATACTGCAATCCAAAGACATGACAACTAAAAAATCACACACACAATGCACACCAAAAAAACCAAGCAACCTCCCCCCACCAAATAAAACCAATCCTTGCTTTAATTCACAGTTGAAAGACAAAATCTAAATGTTACGTGTAGCTGTTGAAATTTGAATTGAGCTAACTGTTCTATCATCTATCTATCTATGTATCCATGTATCTATGTATCTATCATCTAGCCATCCAACCACACACTCATACATCATTTATCCATCCGTGCATCCATCCATCTGTCTCTGCCAATCAGACAAAGTGCTATAATCCTAATACTGTAGGAATTTTAGCGAGAGTAAGTTAAGTCACCAAATAAAGCTTTTCTCTTAAATGCAGTCACTAATGACTTAAAAATAAAAACTTCCACACCTAGGGCTGGCCAGGTGGCGTGTTGATTAGGAGTTGGCTTGGGACGCCAGCTCTGAGCAGCAGGGCCCCGGTTCGGATCCCACATGGGCCAGTGATGCTGCGCCCTCTACAGCTAAGATGGTGAACAACAGCTTGACCTGGAGCTGGGCTGCTGTGAGTCACCAGTGAAGCAACGTCCTCCACAACTAGACTGAAGAACAAAAGGACAGCAACTTGTCTGTTCCCCTTCCCCGATTCCCCAACGCTGTTCCTCTTCCCAAATTCCCCAATAAAATCTTTAAACCAAACCAAAACAAAACAACTTCCACACCTAAACATACTTAACTCCCTACAACCCCAGGCAAATAAAACCATTCTTTGAAAGACTACTGGTTAAACAAACGTTACTTACATTTGCACATTGACATTAGGAGAAGGACAGGCTCTAGAACAAGATGCCCTAACTACATTCAGGATAAGCCCTGGTGCATCCTAAGGAACACTGGCTTTCTCTGTTGCATCCACTAGAACTCTGGATTCCTTCTTTGGAGGCGTGTTCACACTCCTACAGAGGCCCTGGGACATCACAAGGTCCTGGGTCTCCCACACGTCAGTCATTAACAGGCCTCCTAACAGGTCTTTTTCTCTTAGAGAACTTTGCAGTGGTTTCAGCGACTTAGAAGCAAAGTTTTCTCTTGGCTACTCCTGCCCTCTTTTTGGTCCTAGACTTCCTTTGTCTCCCGGCTAAGTGAAAATAGAAACCCCAGCTTAGAAGCACATGGCTTCTACCACCTCCACTTCCTGTTTGTCTCCATCTGGTCAATTCAGTCACTCCAGACCAACAATACAAACAAATAACAAGGCCTCCCTCTCATAGTTCTCTTGCTCTCAAGGGGCTATTATTTATATCTAATCACAGCTCCCTATTAGCTGAATAGCAGGTTTCAGTGTTCTTTTATTAAAACTGATGTGCCTTTTCTCTACTGAACATTTAAAAAATACCATGAACTACTGGAGTTATAAATGTTTTTAATTCACATTTTGAATGCATTTAAATGGAGGCAAAAGAGTATATAACGAAGGGATTTATTTTGAATGAATTCTGAAGGGATGAAAGGTTATATCATATAATAAAAAGACTCCCTCCTTTCCTTGTTCCCCACAAATGGTTTTTTCTCTAAGAATTTTTTTGTACCTTGATCTTTTTTAGTCAATAATATACCCTGACTCTGTTCCACATCAAAAGAAAGCTGAGTCATTCTTCTTAACACCACTGTACCATAATGTATTTATCTAGTTCCCCACTGATGGATGTTTAGGTGGTTTCCAATCTTTTCCTAAAACAAACAATGTAATAATAACTATTCTTGTGTATAGACATATATCAATTCACATATGTGAGTATAACTGTGTTATAAATACCAAAGGGTGGATTGGCTGGGTCAGAGCTATGCAGAATTGTAATTCTGATAGATATTGCCAAGTTGCCTTCCACGGAGGCAAGATTAATTTGTACTTTGACCTACAAGCTGTGTATGAGAGAACCTGTTTTTCCACACTCTTGCTAAGTATATGAAGCTTTTTTTTTTTTAAAGATTTATTGAGGAATTGGGGGCGGGGAACAGTGTTGGGGAATCAGGGAAGGAGGACAGACAAGTCGCTGTCCTTTTGTTCTTCAGTCTAATTGTGGAGGACGTTGCTTCACTGGCCCATGTTGGTATTGTGATCATTGCGCTCTTCCCGGGTGAGGCAGATTGGTTGCCGGCCACTGGACAGCCACTCATGGTGGCTCTTGGCAGCTCACACCAGCTGCCGGCAGCTCACGCCAGCTGCCAGCCACTCACAGTAGCTTTATGGCAGCCCACTGCAGCTCCCCTGTAGTCTACGATGTCTCTGGCGACTCACAGCAGCCCAGCTCCATGTTGCGCTGTTGTTCACCAACTTAGCTGTAGAGGGAGCAGCATCACTGGCCCTCATGTGGGATCTGAACTGGGGTCCCGCTGCTCAGAGCTGGCGTCCTAAGCCAACTCTTAACCAACGCACCACTTGGCCAGCCCTATATGAAGCTTTTTGATGTTTGCCAATACTAGGCTAAGAGCCACTGTAGTTTTCTATTAACTATGTGTTCACATCCTTTCTCATTAGTCTACTGGGTTGTTGGTCTTTTTATTACTGATCTGTAGGAGCTCCTTATATATTAGGGGAAATTAGCCTTTTGTTTGTAGTATGAGTTGTAAAGACTTTTTTACTTTATGTTTTTTTTTGTTTTTTTTTTGTTTTTTGCCAGGCATATAATTTTCATTTTGAAAAAGATTTTGGTTACTATAGTTCAATATAATTGCTTCATTTTGAAATCCTATGTATTAGGTTGTCGGAAAAGTCATGATGTATTTTTTCTGTTTTTCATTGCAAAAATGCATCATGACTTTTCCGAAAACCCAATATTTCATTTCATTAATTTGAAACCCTTATTCTAACATCTAGCAGTTTGGGGTTCTCAGCTGCTAGCTTAGTTCTTGGCACACAGCAATTGCTCAATAAATAAATGAATAAACAGTGGCACTGGTTTGAATAGATAAGATTGGGCCAAATAACTTACTTAGCAATTAGAAAATGCATGAGCATGTTTTACTTATGCCTTATCAGAAATAAATTTTAAGGCAGTTTATTAGCATAAATAGCATAAAACAAGATAGCTTAAATTGACTAAGAATTAAGTGAAGAAAGAGTAAAGTTGAGTCAGGAATAAGGCTTAAATAAATGAAATCACATACAAAAAAAAAGAAAAAAAAAGAAATGAAATCACAGAAAATGTATAAATTTGGTTCTAGCAGGCAATGCAAACAAGGAAAACCTGGACAGTTATATAATTCACAGTGTCTTTAAAAAATAAAAATTATTTAAAAGAAGCAGTATAGTAATTTCTCCTGAAGGTTTTATCAAAGAGCCAAAATTTGCTCTTTTGCTGTGATTTGCTGGAAGGTATGCACACGAGACACAAGCTAGGCCCACAGACATTAAGTTGGATCTAAACCAAAGACTGAGCAGGAGCTTCAAAGGGATGCCAGGGAGGAAGGCTTGTTTTTAAGACGACGACTGTTAGGAAAGCAGTGGGGGCTGAGATGGGCCTTTGAAGACCAGACTTAAAGTCAGGACCAAGGAGAAGACACAAGAGGCAGGAACATAGCTGTGGGTGAAAAAGGGTCTGCACAGAACAGGCGGGCTGAAGCCAGCCCCTCAAACAAGTGCCAAGCAGTAAATGGAAAAGAGCAACCATAAACACAAAAGTGGATGGGAACAACACAATGAACTTGCCCAGTGCACTCAGAGAACCAGTGACCCAGTTTATGTTTTTTTTCCATTTGGACATTTAACTGCCTACTCACAACTCTACCAAAAGCTGAATAAAGGGCAAGGGAGAGGCTGAAGTTCAGAGGACTTATTTCTCCACTCAGTTGTCCCGGTAAACCTCAGGTAGGAGATGTGCACTTAAAATGGGAGTTGGTGACCAGCTGGGTCTTTGTTTTTATAGATGACCCCTCTTTTTTTACTTTTTTCCCAGCATGCATTGGGGAGTCTGGTGTGTGCCATCATGGGGTCCTGGCTTGTTCATGAAAACCTGCTCTTGACCTGGGTCCTGACAACATTTTCTTTCCTAAGCACTAAGGACTCCCAGCTCCACGAGCTGCTCTCTGCATGTCCCTTCATTCCTGTGAATGGAGAGGGGCAGTGTGCCCCATGCTGGGCATGAAGACTCCTAGACAGTCCCGCTCACTCAGGGGCAAGCTGACCATGCTCGCTAGAACCCAGAAGATGAAAATCCAGAGACCAGCATACATTTATTGGTCTAACCCCGCAGAGCTAAGCAGAAAATTACACAAATGAATCCTAACTTTGATGACCACATGACTCAATATTACATTTCAATGAATTCACATTAAAAAAGAGAGAGAGAGAGAGAGAGAGAGAGAGAGAGAAAGAGAGAGAATAGACAAAGAGTATCTTACTTTGGGATTCAAGTCAAAGAAAGTGTAGTATTTAAATCGTAACAGCAGCTGCTCATCCTCCTGGATGCCTTGTTCCATAAGGGAACGCGAGGAATCTAGCCAACTAGAAAACAATAGGATGGGTTTTAAAAGGCAATTAATTTTATACATATGTATTAGAATATATGTTTATATTACATATGTTACCTATAACATGTTTATATTTATATTATACACATACGCATATCTTCTTGAACTAAGTCCGCGTACGTTAATATAACCAAAAAGCAGTAAGGAGGAGGACTTGATAATAACTTATACCTGCATTTTATCTTACAGTTTTCCCAGTGATTTTTATATACATATGTGGTTTTTTTTTTTTCACTGACACTTTAAAGTAAGTCAGTGAAGGATCCAGGGCAGTTTTTATAATAGTTCCTCAGTTTTACAGGTGATAAAACTGAGTCTCCGTGACATTAGTGATATGTTTACGGTCACGTGTCTTGTGGTGGCACCAGAATGAGAATCTACACTTGCTGACTGCCCTCACCGCCTCTCCTCTACGCTGGGTGGTCCGACCCAAAGCTGGCTCTATCTCGTTGTCTAGAACTTTCTGTAATGACAGCAATATTCTACATGGCCTTGTCCAATAGAGTAGCCGCTAGCCATCTGTGGCTACTGAGGTTTTAAATGTGGCTAGTGTCATATTTTAAATTTAATGAAATTCAAATTTAGATATAAATATCCACATGTGGCTAGTGGCTCCAGCACTGGATAGTATAGTTCCGGAGTTGAAAATAAAAACGGTAATGGTAAGGGCTGGAAGGGTAGAGACTAAGAGTTAACAACAAAACCAGGTGGGGATGAATGTCATCCAGCACCACTGAATGAAAATGGCTGGAACGTCTATGATATTAGCCCCCAAGATGCAATCTCCATCCTAAAGGACTTGGCAGTCCAGTGGGGGAGACCAGGCTTCATAATAAAGATACAAGGTGACATTGGAGCAAGCAAAGTATTAGAACAGAACTGCAGGGATGTTGACTGATTTTGAACGGTGACATCTGAGAAGACGAGAGTATGTGGCTGGGCCTTAAAGGACAAGTAGCGATGGACCCGTAGAGGAAGCAAGGAGGAGAGTCCTGGAGCAGAGCAACACCTGGAGGTGAAGTAGTGACGAAGAGTCAGTGAGCGCCATGGGGGTTGGGGTACCTGAGAGCACAGTAGGACAGAGAGACATCTGCTGGGGCAAGATATCAGAGGGAGTGGAAAGCTGTGAATAAGTTTGACTTTATTTGGTGAACAATGGGGAGCAGAAAGAAATGGTGGTTTGAGAAAGAGTCTGAGTGCCTTTTCTGACTGCACGTGAAGCAAAGTTGGACTTGCTCGTTAGGAAGCCTAAAGAGAGAAATGCTGTTATACTAGACAGTGTGGGACAGGTGGGCCACCTTGTCTCCCTGCTGACCCATGGGGACCAACCCACTTATCCACTGCTCTACATCGCATACAACACACTTTACACACCTATAGGGGCAAAAAACTAGTCTTCACATATGGTAAACCATTGAGTTACCCAAACACATAAATGTTGTCACACTTTAAATGCATTGACATGACCAAAGGCTGAATTTTTGTTGCCAAAATTGGCACTGACTTTGGCTAACAGTGTACGAGCCCCAGGCATGCTAACTTAAAAATACAGCTACTCCCTTTGCCATTTCCATGGCATCTCTGTTACTATGTCAACATCAGTTCACAGAGAAGCAAAAACCACATCCTTACCCTGTATTGAGCTTGGCTTTATCCATCAGAGACCGACACTGGTACATATCAGCCAGCGCCTCTGGGGACTGGGGTGGCTGGCTGAATGCCAGGATGCTGCAGTTTTGTTCAGCCAAAGGGCTGTCACTGAACCAAGTCATGGTGGATGATGCCGGCGTTCCATTGACAGGGTCATACGTGGGTGTCATGGTCTTACTGTATAAACCGGGACTGACTGCAAGGCAAGGAGGAACATGGACTCTGACACGGGATTCAGGGGGCAGGAACCTTCAGAAAAATAAGTACTCACACTGCTGATCCCACAATGGGTTTTGAATTTAAATGTTTGTACCATTGAAAAGAATCACATGAATCATGACTGGTGGGGAGGGACGTTATATACAGGTAAAGCTCTTGCCTGAATATTGAGCTCCTGAAAGCTTGGGAACTCATCCATTGTCAACGCTTCCCAAATCAACCTGACAAATGTTGGGGACTATCTCCTCAACAATTCAAAATTCTTCTGTTAGCAGTAAGTGTTGGCACTATTAGAGAACTGGAGATCTCACAGAATGCATGTACGTAATGTATTCTGGGCAAATCCTTTAAACAATAGCAGTACTTGCCAATAGTAATTAAAATTAAAATCACCTGGTTTTAATTTGCATAAGGAAAGTGTAAATAATCCCTTTTATTTTTTGCAATGGACCATGCAAGAAAACCCTCAAATGTGGCAAGCAAGCTAGAGATTTATTTATTTTCATATAAAAAGGAAAAGATGATGCCTTTCTAAAATTTTTACCTGTCCTCCTGTTAACACGCCCAATGCAAACTTTGAACTGAATTCAGACTTAGGAAAACAGAAGTATATTTGAGTGATTCAAATATCTCTTTCCCCCCTCAGGTTTATGGCCAGTTTTACTAAGGTTTTTTAAATTCATCAACATAATGATACATGCAACTAAAATAATGAGCTATACGCAGACCTGGTCAAAAAAATTCTGTTAGGAAACAGTCTCAGAGACATAGAGAAAAAATTGAGGGTTGCTAGATGGGAGGGGGGTGGGAATGGGGGAGAAGGTGAGGGGATTAAAAAGCATGATTGGTAACCACAAGATTGCCACAGGGATATGAAAGACAGTTTGGGGAATATAATCAATAATGTTGTAAAGATTTTGTAGGGTATCAGATAGACACTTGTCTTATTAGGGAGACCACTTCATGGGCAGTGTAGATGCCTGACCACTGCAGTGTACACCTGAAGCTGAATAATACTGAATGTCAACTATAATTTTATATATATATAAATATATATATAGTCACAGGATGTGGAGTACAGCATAGGGAATAGAGTCAGTGGAATTGTAACAGGTATATACGATGTCCGAGCGGTAGTAGATTGGGGGTTATCACTTTGTGAGGGGTGTAAATGTCTATTACATTCTTTTGCACACCTGAAACTAACTAAAAAAAAAAAATTCTGTTAGTTTTAAAATCAATTGGATATCCTTTCCTCTTACAGGAGTCCTGCAATTTTAGTCCTTCTTTGTTTCGGGGAGAGAGGAGATGGGAGGGAAGAAGAGGAAAGGCAGACCAGAGGGGAGGAAAGTTCTTGGGCTTTAAGAATTTAGGAAATTCTTTGACTCATGAATGAATTTAAACAACAGAACACCTGTCACAAATCTTACCTGGTGAGCCTGAAATTGTTGGAGAACTCTCCAGGTTCAAAATATCTTTAGTTGCAGGCTCCTTATTATTTTTGTCTTTCTTCTTCTTCTTTTTAAAATAGTCACCAGAAGGCTTTAACAAGGAAAGTTCTTCTGGTCTTCTAATATCTAATAAATAAATAGAAAAAGAAAGAAGAAAGTCAAAAAGTAAAAAAAAAAAATTCCTTCTAAGACTCAAAGTCACACTGGGCATTTGAAACCATTTCTCTGGAGAGTCCTAAGAAGTAAATGGAACTAAATTGCATTCATTTTTGAAGGAACAGAAGGGGAACTGAGACTTGCCAAATAGGGTAAATGTGGTTCAACTAATGGGGAAGATTCAGTCTAGTAAAATTTCTAGCTTGGTTTTTAATCATTGCGAAAATATTTCAAACAAGGGGCCAGCTGAGTGGCGCAGTTGGTTAAGAGTCCGAACTCTGAGCAACAGGGTGGTTGGTTCGATTCCCACATGGGCCAGTGAGCTGCCACTGAGCTCCCAACAGGCAGCAGGATGGCTCAGCTGGTGAGAGCACGTGCTCCTAACAACAAGGTTGCTGGTTCAACTCCCCCATGGGATGGTGGGCTACGCCCACCCGCAACTAAAATTGAACACAGCACACTGAGCTGAGCTGCCGTGAGCTGCTGATGGGCAGCCAGATGGCGACTGGACTTGGAGCTGAGCTAGCTGCGCCCTCCACAACTAAGATTGAAGGACAGCAACTTGGCTGTTCCCTTTCCCCAATTACCCAATAAAATCTTGAAAAAAAAAGAAGAAAATATTTCAAACAGATCCAAAGTAAAGGGAATAGTATAATGGCCCCTTCATGGGCTCATCGCCCAGTCTCAACCACTACCAGCATTTTACTGTTCTAGTGTCATCTATTCACTATCAATTTTTCCCTCCCTCCTTTCCTCCCTTGCTTCTATCTTTCCTCCTTTTCTTCTTCCCTCCCTCCCTCCCTGTCTTGCCTTATTTTTAAGTTTTTAAAACAACAACCAAGGACCCCACCTTTTTTCTTTATGGACCACAGGTCCTGAGAGCCTTTCTCTTACATGATGCCCAGTAGCTAATTTTATCCAGACATCATTGGCACCCTGCCTATCTTTTGTTGGCCCTCACCATTTCATTCGAGTTCCAGTGGCAGCTAGGACATGCATCTTGCTGCCGAGGGCTTGCTCTGGACGCCCGAGTTTACACTGCCCTGATACAGATGCAAGAGACCACACCAGTTCAGAGACTTAACATTCCCCAAGAGCGGCCCTCAATGACTGATGAGAGAGTATATTAACAACTCAGCTCCCTCACCCCTGTGGTGAGATAGCTCTGAGGCATGTCTACATTGTCTCCCAGAGGTTCCCAGTGTGACCTGATTGGTGACTCTCTCTTACTGGTGGCCTTCTCTTCCTAGGCTCACATCCCCACCCTCAAGGAGTGTTCCCTGGTATCACCTCACAAGTAAATAATTATTTGTACTTGAATTCTTATCTCAGGGCCTGCTTCTGGAGAATTCAAACTAAGAAGATAACCTCTATTTCTCTCCATTAATCAAATAAATTTATTGTTGCCGAACAGAACTCCTGGTAACCATTAACCACACTGAGCTGCTGTGATCCTAGTTAAAAGCCAAGGAATGTGAATGTTAGCGTCTTTGGGCAGATTTCCTGGAGGTAAATGCACTGATACCATATGTCCTCCCACTTTTCAATTCAAACTCTGTGTGGTGCTTCAGACTGAGACTGACCACTGAGCTCAATCCTCTCCCCAGTAACCAAGAATGTCTGATTGTCAGGTTGCAACACGCACTTGTGACCATTCCAAATGCATTATTTATACACAAAACCTGGAGATGAATTAAAATGTCCATTGGAAGCATTAGAAACAAAACAAAACAAACCAGCAACAACAAAAACCTATAATTCTAAGCCCAAGTTTTATCTTTCCTTTTCCTTGAGGGAAAAACTATCATATTGCTAAATTTGATTTAGCTTCAGTGGATTACATATAAAAAGTGATTATTAGAAATGCCAGGTTGAACCGTTTAGAACTATCATGAAGAGAAAATCTGGAAAACAAATATAAAAAGGTATAATCTGATAGTTCCTGTTTATTTCAAAACCTCAAGTTTTCGGTTCCAGCTCCAACGTGTGCTTCCAGTCCACTGTTGTGTGGAGTATATGATGTTATTTAATCATTCCCTTTGTTTTCAAATCCTTATTAGAATATTACTGAAATGCCCTGGTGCGTAGCATGTGCTCACCATGCATCAGGGGCACTATAGAGCTTATATTCTATAACGGAAGGTTCCATTCATTTGTCACTCAGCAGTTATTGAACAGCTAATGTGTGCCAGGCATCATACTGGGCATGCTCAAGAAATGGTCTTTGTCTTCACCCTATTTAATACCATACCAGCCTCCAAAGCCCACTACCGGCACTCTCAAGCCTACATATACTATTACACTTTCCCACCTTTCCCCACTATCTCCTTTTAGCATTTTATTTTAATTTTTTTACATTTATTATTTATTTTCTGTCTCTGTGTACTAGAATAAGCTCAAGGAGGGGAGGGATTTTTGGCTAATTTTATTACTAACATATCCCTAGCATTCACCGCAATGCTTGCCTAATCAATACATACTTGCTAAAAAAATGAGCGAGCATTTTATAGTTTAACAGAGAATATAGATCAAAATATATATATACAGAGGGTGCCAAAAATATGTATACACATTTTAAGAAAGGGAAAACCTATTAAAATTGTAATACTCAATATATACCGATAATAAAAGATGACTACAAGTCACATTCAACTTCTGCAATTACAAGAGGTGCTCAAAATGGTTACTATCAGCGTCCAGACACTTCTGATTACGCTGAACTACTGTTTGAGCAACATTGACCAAAGCCTCCACTTGTATACATTTTTTGGCCCATGTATATATATGTATATATATGGTTTTTACTATGTTCAAATGCCTTGGAACTAAAGACTAGACCTACACACGTTCAAAAATATAAAATAAGAAAACCTTCATAACACAGGGTTTGCTCCTATTATGGAAGTCCCACAAAGAAGAAATGGTTTGGGCAGTGTTGTCCCTAATGGCTGTTAAACTCATGGGACACCATCCCATAGGAATTAGTTTTCAGTCCATCATTAAGTGTACTTTTCTCCTTAAAATAAACTCCACAAAGGATTCTGGTGGGCAGAAGCTATTTACTGCAGCCTGTTAGTGAAGCAATTAGGTCATTGCAACACTATTATCTCAATGGTAATAATGATTTAATGGAGCTGTTTTTTGTTTGTCTTAAATAAAATGATTTTACTATGGCTCAGAGAAATGAATTTTTTTTTGAGGAAATCATAATGGGTTTGTCTCTTCTGTTTAACAAATCTCTTTTGAAATAGTTTTAAGCTTTGTGGAAATAAATCTGATTTATTTCAATAATGTTCCATTTGGTTTAATTCCACTTGAATGGCTCAAGTCCCCAGCACTGGGCTTGAAAATTGTAATAAGGGCAGTATTCTGTAAAGCTAACCACTCGAGAGAGGCAGAAAGCACACACTTTTTCCTGCCCTCCTTTGCTACCGGTCCAAAAGGCACAGGGGCCGCTGCAGGGTACTCACTCAAGGTTTTGCAGATGTCACTGACAGCTTTAAAAACCACCGCTGAGAAGCTGACTCGTAATCTCACAGTCTTCATGTTGGGCAGGCGGAGCTGAAGCAGTTTATGCTGAGGGGTAAAGAGAAGCTTTGCATCTGCCTGGACTCCACATTTGTCCAGAGTCCAGTGTGTTTTCAGAAGCCAGCAATGCTTCTGCTCCCACCAAAGGGCAAAGTCTGACCAGTCTTGGGCTATGTCTGCAAACATTGAAAACACAATGAAGTAAAATGAGAGGGAACACCCCAGTCAATTCCTTTGTGTGCAGAAACGGAAACAAACAACTGCTCTTCAGCACCCCATCCCCTTTTACAACCCAAGGCTCAACAATCCTTGGCTTCTCTTCAAAGTCTCTAAGGTGGGGCAGGTAAAAAACAGACTGAACCTTACCATCATTGATATTTAAATACTGTGGAAAGAAAAGAAACATTTATACGTTTTGTTCCTGATAAAATGCTCAAGTTCTCATCCTTAAATCCGTTAGTGCCATAGTCTTTTCTGGAAGGCCAGTAGCATTTGGCTTTGTTTAATCAAGATTATTTCTCTATTAGAATGTATCCTTACACCACTGGGTCGCGTGGGAATATCACTAGCTCCCCCCAATCGGAGTCCGCATAGAAGTACTGTAAAGCTGACATTTCACTCTTCTAACTCTTTTAACAGTACCGCCTTAATTACCAGTTTCCCAAGTGTCTACACTGAAAGCAGGGCTGTTTTCTCTCAGTGTTAGCACCAACATGGGAACTTCCCCCTCCTTCAAAGTTGGCACCAAAATTGAATTTTCTCCCTTTGTCAATGTTGGAGTCAATAGTCAATTTTTTATTTTGCTAAATTAAGAGCTACCAGTAGTTTTAATTATTAGGCTGGTCCAAATGTAATTGCAGTTTTTGCATTGTTGAAATTTGCCTTTGATATTGGAATACATTCTTAAATACATGTGGTTATGCTATACATAATTTTAATACGCATTTCTCGCTTTATGTTTTTTTTTGCTAATGCCTTATTACTTGTTTAGTTTGTATGTATTTTAGACTATGGAGATGAAGTTAGACAAAAAGCAAATTCAAGCTATTTTCTTTTTCTTTCTTTCTTTTTTAAAGTTTGTAGCAGAGGATAGTTTTATTAGAGCAGAAAGTTACAGCTCTTGAAACAAGAGGGGGTCCCCGACTGAGATGCCCCTCAAGCTATTTTCTTATGTGAGTTCAAAATGGGTCGTAAAGCATTGGAGACAATTCGCAACATCAACAATGCATTTGGCCCAGGAACTGCTAACAAATGGACAGTGCAGTGGTGGTTCAAAAAGTTTTGCAAAGGAGACGAGAGCCTTGAAGATGAGGAACATCATCTTGGTGGCCATTGGAAGTTCACAACGACCAATTAAGAGCAATCATCGCAGCTGATCCTCTTACAACTACATGAGAAGTTGCCGAAGAACTCGTGGATCATTCTATGGTCATTTGGCATTTGAAGCCAATTGGAAAGGTGAAAAAGCTTGGTAAGTGGGTGCCTCATGAGCTGACCACAAATCAGAAAAATCGTCGTTTTGAAGTGTCATCTTCTCTTATTCTACGCAAAAACAACAAACCATTTCTCGATCAGATTGTGACATGGGATGAAAAGTGGATTTTATACAACCTGCGATGACCAGCTCAGTGGTTGGACCCAAAAGAAGCTCCAAAGCACTTCCCAAAGCCAAATTTGCACCATAAAAAGGTCACAGTCACTGTTTGGTGGTCTGCTGCCTGTCTGATCCACTATAGCTTTTTGAATCCTGGTGAAACCATTACATCTAAGAAGTACGCTCAGCAAATCAATGAGATGCACCAAAAACTGCAGCGCCTGCAGCTGGCATTGGTCAATAGAAAGGCCCCAATTCTTCTCCATGACAACACCTGACCGCATGTCGCACAATCAACGCTTCAAAAGTTGAATGAATTGGTTTACAAAGTTTTGCCTCATCCGTCATATTCACCTGACCTCTCGCCAACCAACTACCACTTCTTCAAGCATCTCGACAACTTTTTGCAGGGAAAACACTTCCACAACCATCAGGATAAAGAAAATGCTTTCCAAGAGTTTGTCGAATCCCGAAGCATGGGTTTTTATGCTACAGGAATAAACAAACTTATTTCTCGTTGGCAAAAATGTGTTGATTGTAATGGTTCCTATTTTGATTAATAAAGATGTGTTTGAGCCTAGTTATAATGATTTAAAATTCACTGTCCGAAATCGCAATTACCTTTGCACCAGCCTAATACTGAAAATAATGGTTTATCTCTCTTTCCCTCTCTTTTTAAATTAGAAAACCTTTTTTTACAATACTGTTAGTAGAAGTATAAATGCTATAACTATTTTGGAAAGGCTTATTGTTCAGCAATTCCTCGCTGAACTATATGCCTATGCGTATGTATACTCACCAAAAGGCATGTACTATACCAGCCTTATCTGTAGTAGCCCCTGAATGGAGACAACTCAAATGTTATGGATAAATCTCACAGACATATGTTGAGTGAAAGAAAGCAGATAAGAGTATATCCTGTATAATTCCACTTTCATACAGTTCCAAAACAAGTAAAATTATTCCTAAGGTGTTAGAATTCCGAGCAGTGGTTACCCTTGGTGGGGAAGCAACTAGGAGGGGTTGGTTGTGGGACTTGTGTGGGGGAACAGGCAATGTTCTATTTCTTGATCTGGGTGATGGTACATTGAATTGAAAATTCATTGAATTGTACACTGATGATAAGTGTAGTTTTCTGTCTGTATATTATACTTCAATGAAGACTTATTTCAAAAAAGTTTTACCCCATTAGTGTAAATGAAAAGCCAACATCCATGGCCTTAGAAGGTAAAAAAATATATAAAGAAACTAGAATGTTATTAAACTCTAGTTTGATCGTTTTGACTCCTGATGGGAAGTCTCTGACCTTGAAGACTTCTCTTTCTGTGTAAACAGGGAGACTAGCAAATGGTGAATAAGTGTTAAAAGACACATCAGCATCAAGCTGACTTTTTCACTGAGCAGTCAAGTGTTAACAGGGAATCCACACAGTAGCCTAACACCCTAGAAATGGTCTAAAGTCAACCTAGGTGTCATCAGTGGAATGGGCCCCATACTTATGGAAATACGCCATTCTACCTACTGAGGAGCTTTTGTTTGTCACCAGACTCAAGTTTTTACAAGGGTGGTCAGGTTCAGTTGGAAGCCGTTGCAGGGCCCCCTGATTCTCTTCCTCCTGGAAGGAGGGGGCTTGCTCTCTGGGCCATTACTAGAAGGATGATCAGAAAATCTTAGATGATCAGACAACCTAGATCAGCCATTGCATGGTGATGAAACAGAGGGTTTCAAATATAGAGAAACCATAAAGAAACAGTAACTTACTGATCTTTTCTACCAACTTGAGCATCAGTCCCCCAATATGCAGGTCTCCGGACACTCTCAGTGGGACTTCTTTCTGCCCTTCACTTGGATGGTCAACTAGGATCACGAGAGCCCAAGAAGCAGATGCAAAGTCGCTGGATGAGAGCATTGTGACAAATGCAGGTGTCTGCTGCATAAAAAGGCACACATAGATCAGAATATGAGGACGCTGGAGCTTGCCAGCAAACCCTGCAGAGCAAAACATATGTTTTTAAAAATTTTAATTATAGCCTCCTCTTGAAAAAAGTCTGCAGTGTTCCCAGTACCCCAGATATTAAATTCAGCATCTTAAAGACAAAAAGTCTTATGGAAATGGTCTCAAGCTTTCTAAATTTACATGCTTTATCTTTCTACTCCCCACAAGACCACTTGGCTATTTATTTTCTGTGCCAGCCCAATGCATTAATCTTCATTTTCCTTCTCTACTGACTCTTCTTGACTTTCTCTGAACTATTCTAGCAATAGGCAACAAATCATGGCAATCCTTCATGATATCTGTTAAAAAACCCCACCTTTATTGAAGTATAATTTGCATAAATAAAACAAACAGGTTTTGCATTTTGTTGTATGCAAATTATACTTTGATAATGTTGATTTTAAAAAAGGACATCATTAAAATCTTTCTCTAATATATACATACATAGGTACTATATTTCTTCTATAAGTTTTAATGACATCTCCTGGTATGAAAATTCAAAAAATGAAAATATAGCAAAATAGTTTCTATTTCAGTTACATAATATGTAGTTTTACCTTATAATGCATATAAAGATACAGGCCATTAATAATTATTATCACATATTTGATTTACTTGAGGTATCATTTTATATCATATAAAAGTTGATAAGTAAGTGCATCAATTAAGTTTTGGGACACACCTTTGGCAAAGATTGAAAACAGGAGTGTCAGATCTACAAAGCCCACTTTTCAAAGCGTAGACGGGGTGAGAACTTCAGACCCACAGCTTTTCTCTCCTTGGAGGAATTAAAATAAAAGAAGCTAAGCAGTGTCAAAATGGGAATGTTTCAGAGGCGGGTAATAGAAACACTGTAATCCAAAACTGGCAGAACTTACAATGTCAGCTCTCTTACTTTCAAACAGAAAGCAAACGACACTACCGTCTCCTAACTATTTTAAGATGTAAAATAAAAATCAGTGATTTAAGTGATAACAGATCTTTTTCTCTTTACTAGGTAAAGACAGCTTATGAGAAATTCGTGTTTTCATTAAGATCTATTTTTAAGAAACAGCAGTGCACACACATTCCTAAGAAAGGGCTGATCTAACAAAGTGCACACACGTTCCCTGCAGGTATGACTGACATGCAGGTTATATTCAGGTCTCAGTGGAGGTGGTGGAGGCCCTGCATTCATAACAAGCTTCAATGCTGGTCTGTGGTTCACGTTTTGAGTATAAAATTAGCTCCAGGGCTCAGTTCTTCCCTTCCAACTACCCAAATCAAGATTAAGCCGGGGAGTATGGTGACATCTGAGAAACACTATTTTTAATAATAAGCAATAATTAAACTACCCGGATCATACCAATTTTGGGTTCATTTGAAACTGTTTACGTGTATAAGTCAGCCTCAGAGAATCTCAAAATACACAAAATAGATAAACATTGCAAATTTGAACTGGCATAGGACATATTTTACTTGTTTGAATCAGTTCAGAAGTAGCTCCTTATTTTGTGACCAGACGACCGCAGTGAAGTCATGCTTATACCTTGCAGTGCACATAGGCTCACATGGAGACCTCATGTACCGACAGTGCCATGCATGGATTACATTGGACCTAACTGCTGGCCTCACTGTCATCATCAGCCTCAGCTATCATTTATAATGTGCTTACTGGGTGATGTATTCTGCGTTAACTACTATCCTTGTGTTAGCTCCATCCTCTCTGCAATTCCATATAGACATGAGGAAACTCAGGCTCAGAGAGGCTAGGCAAATTATTGGAAGTCACACAGCAAGTTAGATGGTGGAGCCCAGACAGAAATCCAGGTCTTTTTAAGTATGAACTCTTAACCACCACACTGGAACACATCATTTATAATGTTGCAATGCCAATATGAAAGAAAACTATTAAAATCACATGAGCTAAATGTTGAGTAGCCTTCACTAAGCATTTCTACTAACATAATCTTTCCCAGTGAGGAGGCAATAAATATACTACTTCAAAGTCAAACTCATAACATGGAAGCGAACTGTTGGACTGTAAGATCTTTACAATTTTTAAAATGCTATGATTTGAGGTTTAGTTATTTAAACTATTTTGTACATAAAATAATCGGTCTTTTAAGGTTATTTCATGAGCAATCAGGCATAAGATCGTTTCTTTTCCTAACACAGGCAATCACTTCTCATTTAGGCAACAGATGGTGATTCCCTTAACCAGGAAATCCAGGCTAAAATTAGACAATCTGGTTTCCCCACATTCCTCTCCTATCTTTCTGTGTCTTCATTTTGGAGTGAACTTCTCATCTGCAGCAAGCTGTTACTTGCTGAGGAGAGCAGCAAACTTCAACCCGGAAAGCTCCTCATAGACACCAGAACAAGAAGTAAAGGGCACCAGCAGACCTGCCTTCCCTGGGTGAAGCCCAGCTGCTCATTTGAAAGTGCAAGAAAGAAAGTCAGAAAGCGAGACTGAGAGGCAGGCAGGCATTAAAAAAGAAAGGAAGGAAGGTACTTAGGTAGGTAGAAAGACAGAAAGATGGATGGATGGATGTGAAAAATAGCCTCAGATGCTATTGGATCAGAGAGTGCATGTGTATGAAGGTCTGCTTTTTTGCCACCTTTGAAGGGTCCGGGGGCACGGGGAGTATGGGGGGGAGGGTGGAAACCTGCCCCTTATCCCCATGAAGGTAGCACCCCGCGCGGCTGGACACGTTTATTTTGCGCGGCGAGATGCGCAGAGTCGGAGAGGGTGGTGGCACGCCGAGGACGTAATTTTTTAAAAATTCAACAGCCATTTAAGTGCAAAGGGCTGCAGGAAGGAAGTGGACAGGGGTCTCCGGAATCAGCGGTGCCCAGCACAGCCTCCCTTCCTCGCCGGGCTTCCACCCCCCAGCCCTAGCCCCATAGCACCCACCTCCTTTCCTGGAGCCTGTGGTGTGTAGTTTAGCAGACCCGCACATGGGGGCCTGCGCCCTTAGAGACTAGAGACTGGGGCAGAGGTTACCCAGGCCGAGTCGGGGGCGAGCGCTGGGGGCGCACGGTGGCAGCAGCAGCGGCGACTCCTGCGGGCTGCGGCAGGCGAGGGCTACGCGCCCAAGCCCGGGACAGGCTTACACCCGACCTCCCACCGAGGCCTGGCGCCCGCCTCCAGCCCACGAGGTGTGCCTGGTCCCCGCCCAGTGCGGAGGGGGCGCGCAGGCACAGGCCGAGGCCAGCAGGCTGCACCACGAGCGAGGGCACGCCCAGCCCCGGGCCTGCTGGGTCTCGTTCGCAGGAGAGAAGGTGCGCTCACCAGCCTCTATTTTTTTTTTTTAATTTCACAAAGTATTTATTTATTTGGTTTTTTTCAGGTGTACAAAACAATGTAATAGTTAGACATTTATACCTTTCACAAAGTGATAACCCTCCTCCCCCAATCTACTACCCCTCCGACTTCAAGTGTGGCTTTACTACTCCAATGACTAGCCCTTATGCTGTACTCCACATCCTGTGACTTTATATATATATATATAAAATTATAGTTGACAGTATTATTCACCTTCTTCCACCTGTAGCCCCTGGTGGAAGCGCTAGTATGCATCCAGAGGGGGGTGGGGAACCTGGCCCCCCCCACCCCCCACCTCCCCTTCTTGCAACCTCTCATCACCACTACCCCCAGCCCCTTAGACCACCTCTGGTTTTCTCGGCTCCTCGGGGCCTGCTGGGGGAAGAACGCAAGTGGTTCAAGTCCTGCCAATTTCCCTGCCCTCCAGGTACACCCATCACTTACACCCCAGGGCGTGTTCCAAGCCCGGAGACTCCCGGCTCCAGGTTAGAACAACCGCCTCCTCTTAAAAGAGCCTGGGGGACCTGTGATCGCCAGGTGAAATAAACAAAAGCGGTTCATTTCTGAGTAAAAGGGTGAGAAGCCCAAAGTAAGCACAGCGGAAGACCCTGGGGCAACACATGGGCACGCCCCATGCGGAAGTCTGGTATGGCTCACCTCAGATTCACCACCTAGCCCCACAGCTCAAAACTTCCTGTTGGATTCTCTTCCAAAGAGAGCCGGAAAGGTGGGTGACTTTGGGCAATTTACACAACCGCTCCAGGCCTCCTTCCTTCATATTACACATATTTGTTGAGTGTTTATTATGCACCAGTCCTTGAGCTGAGCTCAGATGATGCACCGGATATAAAACAGACATGGAAATTATAATTTTCTCATTAAATGGGTAGAGGGATGGAATAACCGCCACCACTGCAAGGCAGCGCGGAGGAATTTCATGCAGCATAGAACAGGCTTTAGAGATTTACATCAAGTACATAAAGCTTGCGATAACTTAAATACAAATTTAAAATGTTATGAAATTTAGAATAGGAACCCTTGTTTTTTGTTTGAGCGTTACCATATTCAGCCATTATTATGGTTTTGAAAGTATTTTTAAGGGTCAGTTGAACAATTGCCAGGAAATAATGGAATTTTATAATTAAAACAAAATAATTAAAATCCTGAAATTCAATTTCCTAATTTGGCAGAGTTTTATCAACTATGGGAATGGGATCAACTGTCATATGGGCCTACTTCCATACCCCCCCAACACCGACTGAACAAACA